CTAATGTTAGCCCTAAGCTTAACCCTAACCCTAAACCCTAACCCTAAACTCAAAGCCAACCCGAACCCTATCCCTATCCAAAATTCTAACGCTAACCCCTAAACTTTAACCTGTAATTCTTTTTTTGTTTTGTTTTGTTTTGTTTTTGAGGCACAGTCTTGCTCCTTCTCCCAGGCTGAAGTGCAGTGGCGCAATGTCGGGTCACTTCACACTTCACCTCCCGGGTTTTATGCCATCATCCCAGCTCAGGCTCCCGAGTAGCTGGGACTATAGGCATGCATCCCCTACGCCCAGCTAATTTTTTTGTATTTTTAGTGGAGACGGGGTTTCACCATGTTAGCCAGGATGGTCTTGATCTCTGAACCTCGTGATCCAACCACCTTGGCCTCCCAAAGTGCTGGGATTACAGGCGTGAGCCACCACACCTGGCCTAACCTGTAATTCTTAACCATAACACCTAACTCCTAAACCATAACCTCTAATTCTTCTCTGTAACACCTAACCCTTAACCAATGCCTAATCCCTAAATTCTCACTCTAACACTAACCCTTTTTAGAAATTGTGATTATAGAAACATGTACATTTTTAAGGATCAGTTGTTTCGACGAATATCTACTTCCATAGAGAAAAGACAGATTTAAAAATCTTTATCATTCTGTCCTTTCACGATGTACTTTTATTTTCGTTGGCTTTTACCTCTAAACCACTGTTCACAGGAAATATTCTGGTAACTTAAAATGCTTTGGTTTAATCAAACCACCCCTGTACCATTTCTGTGACTGCAGACCCATGACTTACCTCAGGTGGGCATTTTGTCATGTGGCAGTGATGGCAGTGTCATGGGAGCATTTGATGACCTGGCACATATGCTCCAAAAATACTTCTGAACTTTCCAACATCACTCCCCATCCTGTACCTGACTTACGAGGGAAAGAAGCAACTATTGCTTCTTTGAAGCTTCAGGTAAAGGAAAACTCAATAATATACATTGTTTTATCCAAAATTTTGATATTCTGTTCATCATAGATTCTTTAACATATATTTTGGTTTTTTAAAAACACTGCATTGGTCGGGCGATGTGGCTCACGCCTGTAATCCCAGCACTTTGGGAAGCCGAGGCGGGCGGATCACAAGGTCAGGAGATCAAGACCATCCTGGCTAACACGGTGAAACCCCGTCTCTACTAAAAAATACAAAAAATTAGCCAGGCATGGTGGCGGGTGCCTGTAGTCCCAGTTACTTAGGAGGCTGAGGCAGGAGAATGGCGTGAACCCAGGAGGCGGAGCTTGCAGTGAGCCAAGATCGAGCCATTGCACTCCAGCCTGGATGACAGAGCAAGACTCCATCTCAAAAAAATAAAATAAAATAAAAACACTGCATTGCAATATTATTTATCTTGATTACTGAGTTTTTTGATACTCCACTTGCTTTCATCCCATTCTCAGCCTTATTTGGAAGAAAAATCATCTGGGACACCTGGGTGGTGCTTATAGATCCACAATCCAGGGGGTGTCATGTTCCCCACCTGCTGGGTTATTATGCTGAGGGGTGAGATTACAACTCAGGTGATTGGAGCAGCCTTGACCATGACCCAGAGGAAAGAACTGCAGGGCTGCAGCCTGCCCCTTCTGAGCTTGTGAAAGAACAGCTTCTGGCCCTCTGAGCAGGGCTGTCACACCGAAGAAGGGGTCATTCCTAATCCTCTCTGGGTCATATGTTGGGGGGTGCTTTAAATAGATGATCCTGTTTTCCTATTCTCTGGCCCTGTCCACATCTGCTTTATAAGTGCTCAAATTCCAAGAAGAAAGGAAGGGCTGATGAATCACTCTCCGAAGCCCTAGGCTCCCTCTGTCCTACAAATTTCTACCCAGGACACCAGACACTCCCTCTCTTTTCCTGCCCGCATATCTCCCTTGGTGTTCCCCAGAAGACTGGCTCTCTATAATTCTGTGAGCCCACATAAGGGGCCTGAAGACTGATCCCCAACAGCTATGAGCCCCCTAATTAGCAGGCAGACATTGGACAGTTCTCCTAAGAGGCACTCAACCCAGGGCCATCCAGCAACTTCAAGATACGGATAGGGCAGGGCTCCCTCAGGGGAGCACCGGTGATGGTGGGCATTCCTGGGACAGAAGACAGCAGCTCAGGATGAAACAGAGGTTCTTACGAGGTTGACCTAAATCATCTTCCAGCCTTTTGTGGTTCAGCTAATTATGATGGAAGAAATGCAGGAATTCCCAGGAAATTTGTTAAAAAGACACATAATGATAGAAAACTTACCAGATTTTGAATGTGCTAAAGATAGTGTATATAGAAAACAAAATGATGACAAAAATAGCACTTATTGAATATTGACTCTAATTACCTCAGTCCCACCAAGGAAGAGGCCTTATTGTTATCCCCATTATGCCAAAGAGGAGAAAAGGTACAGAGAGGATCAGTAACTTGCTCAAGGTCACACAGCTATTAAGTAACTAAACTGACGGTCTACCCCAGGAAGCATGGGTCCAGGAAGGAAGAGAAAATCTAGAAATAGTGGGTAAGTATGCCTTAGAATGTATGATGTGTTACCAATTGTATTTCACATTAGAGAGCATGGAGGGAAAGGGGAGACAGTGTATATTTACAATAGGCACTGGTAACTCAAATTTTTGCACTACCCTTTATTAAAAGTAATGCTTAAAAAGGGTTCATCGGCCGGGTGCAGTGGCTCATGCCTGTAATCCCGGCCTTGAGAGGCCGAGGTGGATGGATCACGAGGTCAGGAGATCGAGACCATCTTGGCTAACATGGTGAAACCCCATCTCTACTAAAAATACAAAAAGTTAGCCAGGTGTGGTGGCGGGCACCTGTAGTCCCAGCTACTCGGGAGGCTGAGGCAGGAGAATGGTGTGAAACCGGGAGGCGGAGCTTGCAGTGAGCCAAGATCATGCCACTGCACTCCAGCCTCAGCAACAGAGACTGAGATTCCATGTCAAAAAAATAAATAAATAAATTTAAAAGATAAATAAATAAATAAACAAATAAATAAGGGTTCATTCTCGGCCAGGCCCAGTGACTCACGCCTGTAATCCCAGCACTTTGGGAGGCTGAGGCAGGCAGATCACGTGATGTTGGGAGTTCAAGACCAGCCTGGTCAACAAGGTGAAACCCCATCTCTACTAAAAATACAAAAACGAGCTGGACATGGTGGTGCGCACCTGCAATCCCAGCTACTCGGGAGGCTGAGGCTGGAGAATCACTTAAACCTGGGACGCAGAGGTTGCAGTGAGCAGAGATCGTGCCACTGTACTCCAGCCTGGGTGCAGAGCAAGACTCCGTCTCAAAAAATAATAAAATAAATTAAAAAGAAGGTAGACTTTCGAGTCTGACAATTAAGAGGCCAGCCTGGGCAACATAGCAAGGTCATGTGCCTAAAAAAATAAAACTACATTAAAAATGTGTTGAATTCATTTAAATCGAACAATGTAGATACTTCGACATTTTTGGCCCCATTGTTTTACATTCGTTGGTGCTTAACGGTAGTGAGCAATCGGGACTATTGCTCTCCTCTGTTCTGCACCTCAGACAGCTGCAGTCTGTTCTCCACCTCCTCAGGGGTCTCCAGTCCCAAGAGACTCGGTCAGTCAATGCTGCTTCTCCACAACCTTGTTGTCCTGTTCTTTCCACTCCTTAAAACGAACTTTAAAAATAGAAAACCATAGAAGTATTTTATAAAAATTAGAAAATGTGGATAAGCAAAAAGAAGAAAATTAAAATGCCTAAAGAAGTTACTGAAACAAAGTGGTAATTGAATCACCCCAGAGGCACCAGGGTTTAGGATGTGGCATCATTTTATCTCCGCTTTCCACGTGGACTCCTACATCTGTCTTAGAACACAGCATTCTGCTGCACAATGTATCACGATCATCAGCTGGGCCCAAGCGACCTCAGCATCGCTACTAATAACCTTCCAGGAACCCATCCCCTGTCTGAACCTGGTTTATTTCTCAAATCTTCCGCCAGAGACTTGGATTGTTTTCACATCTTCACTGGAACAAACACTGAAATGTTTATCCTGCGTGTCTTATGCATTTACTGACTTTTTTCCTTCCAGTTAGACCTTGACTACCTTTGAAAACCAACTCAAGGCCCGGCACAGTGGCACGCACCTGTGGTTTGGGAGGCTGAGGCGGGAGGATCACTTGACCCCAAGAGGTTGAGGCTAAAGTGAGCTCTGATTGCACCGCCGTACTCCAGCCTGGGCCACACAGCGAGACCCAGCCTCTAAACAAACAACTCAAGGTCTTTGGTCTTGCATTGCCGGGTACCTTCCGAACTTACTGTATAAAACATCAACACCCCCCCCCAAAAAAAACAAAAAAAACAAAAAAACCCACAAACCCACACACACACAAAAACTATACACTCCACAACGGCAGAGGCTGGACTGTGCCCGTGCCAGGACTTGGGGTGTTCAGTCATCTCCCAGCCATCTTTTGACCAGGTCTGCGAGGATCCCACCCCCGCCCCCGGATCGCCCAGTTGTGCCCGGAGCGCCGGGGGTCACGGAGGTCAGCCGTGGTCAGGCTGCTCTAGGCTTCCCCTGAGGGAACCGCCCGCAGGGCCCACCTGGGTGAAGCCCCGCCGAGGCTGAGGTCGGAACTCCGCCTGGACCCGGGCGCGTCCCCTGGGGGTCTGTTCCAGCGGCGCCCCCTCCCCCGCGCTGGGAAAGCGCTGCGCCCCACTGAGCCGCGACCCCAGCTTGACTCGGCTGCGCCTGCGCCGGCGCCAGCACCAGGGCGGGCAGCGCAGGGTCACCCGTGGGTCACGACTCCCTCGGCTCCGCGGCAGGGCGGGGGTCACGGCGCCCTCCCCCACCCACCCACCCCGCACCCCGCGATCCGCAGGCCTGCTCCTTCCAGCGCTCGAGAACGCAAAGCTCCAGGCCTTTCTGACCCCGCACTGCGCACCCCGGAAACCCCAGGTCCCCCGGGACGCCCGGGACTCCTCGGACCCGCAGATGCCACGTACACCGGATCCCCCACAGACCCCTGAGCTCCCCCGGGTTCCGCGGTTGCCCGGGAGGCTGAGGGGCGCGGGTCCCCGGGGCGGCTTATGGGCGGGGCCTCGCGGGGATTGGCCGCGGCCTGGATACTTTGTAGCACCCGCACCTTCTGCGCTGCCCCGCGCCTCCTCGCCAGCCCCGGGTGCGCGCCAAGCACGTGCGCCAGGGCTGAAGCGGTCCCGGAGGGTGAGGGGCGCTTGGGCAGGGGAGGGTCCGGGAGGGTGAGGGACGCGCGGGCAGAGGGGTCCTGGAGGGTGAGGGGCACGAGGGCAGGAGTCCCTGAGGGTAAGGGGGCCCCCGGAGGGTGAGGGGGGCGCGGGGGCCGGGGTGAGGCTGAGGGCGGAGCCTCCCGGGCTGGAGCCCCAGGCAGCAGTTTCGGCCTCAGGGAGCAGCGCGCCAGAAAGGTAGGAAGGCGGGGGCCATGGAGGGGGGGTCCCGCCATAGTCGGGAAGCCACGCAGAGCCACCTCCCGCGACCCTTCCCCTCCATTAAGCCGGAGCCGGGTGCCCCTCAGGGCACCGGGCGGACAGGCCAAGGTACCCCACGGGAACCTTTTTCCTTCCTGAAATGGCAGGAACCCCGCCCCTCCCAGAGCCGGTGGGGGTTGGCGCTGCAGGAAACCCAGGCCTGGGAGCCTCCTCTGCCCTCCAAGGCCTCTGCAGCCTCTGTTCCCCCAAGGGACCCCGGGTCCAGGGTCTCCTGCCCACTGTGGCAGCTGGAAACGCAGAGCCCTGACTCGGGACCTGGGTGAGATGGCGCTAGAGCCCAGGAAGGGTGGAGTAGACGAGGTCGTGTCCCTCGGCGGGGCACGGGAGATGATGCAGGCAGAAAGAACCCCTCGCCAGGGAGCGCACAGCCTAGCTGGTTCTTTGAGGCTGTGAGGGTTTACAAACTTTTTGGAATAACAATGTATTCCGCAGAAGTAAGATCGATTGGGAAAGGTTTTATGTTGGGAAAAGCAGTCACTGGCAGCTGCCTAAATGTCCTCAGGTGAGGCCCGGTTAGAACAAGTGAAGGTCCCTCCTGTGTGGATGCAGGACCAAGCGTGTGATTGCGAAGTGTGTCTTTGACACTTTGGATTAAGTATTGGCATAAGCAGTTTCTGCTGTTAAAACAAGTGCATGTATGTGGATTCAGATGGAAGGCCTTGGCATCTACTGGTGACCCCTGCACACAAGGTCCCTACCCTACTGAGCCCAGAGAAGGAGTGAGATGAAACATAATCACGACGTGTATGACAGCGTGGAGGAAAGGAAGGGCAAGCAGAGCTGAGAGGAACAGGGTGGGCTGTGGACCAGGGTGCCAGGTGGAAGGTTCAGAGAAGTGGAGGAGCTGTTGCAGACAGTACCCAGCCCAGTGCTTGGTGCACAGGCGTGTTTGTTAAGGACTAAAGTATTTTGGGGATTAGAAGGAAATTCTAGAGGATGTCTGCTATGGTGGTGCCCTCTCTCGGAATGTGTGAGGTCTTATTCCTACTCTACAAGTGTCCATGGCTCACTAGCCGTGGCATCACCTGCTTTGCAGAGTGCCTTGGGCGATTGACGGAAAGGACGTGGTCAGTGTTGGCCATTCCTGTGACTGTTCTCTGTGTTGGCAGAGTGGCCACGACCCAGCACAGGATGCAGAGCTTCCTGACTCTGCTGAAGGAGCATGAGGACACCCGCGCACCCCCAGCAGAGCTGGTAACCCTTGCTGGCAGACTGTGCCGGGATTTCCAGGATGACCTTGCCCAAGTGCAGCCTTTGGTCGCAGCCATTCTGGACAGCCCGCTCCGCCTGCACCTGCTGGACAATGCAGATGTGGCCCTGGTGTGTGCTCGTGTCCTGGACCAGCAGGAGCAGCAGCAGGCAGCTTGCCGGCTCCTGGAGGTAGGCCTGGGCTACAGGCGTGGGGTACAGAGAGAACTAGCAACTTCTCCAGGCAGCCTCCACCCATGCCAGGCACTGCAGCAATACCCGGGAGTTAGTAGGAACCGGTTGGCTGAAGGTCCAACCCCAGGCCTTGGAAAAACGTGAGAGTCGGATTTTATGTAAGCTTAGTCCACTCTCACGTTACTGAACTCTAACTAGTTTGGTAATCTGAGTTAAAACTACTCATTCGTCAAATCCCTATTGAGTGGTGATCTGTGACAGGCATGATGCCAACAAAGTGAGTGAATAAAACGCAGTCCTGCCTTTGGAGAGCCAACATCTTAGCAAGGCATTCAGACAGACCCCCTCTCATTTCCTGGCTGCAAGTCTGCAATGGAGAACTCTGAAAAACAAAAGTATCTTTGTCACTCACCTGCTGGTACCTTCAACCTCAACGCATTAGGCATTGAACCTGACCTGTGCTGATCTGAAGCTATTTACAGTGTTTATTATTCCAACTAATGTGGCCACTGAACGTTTTGTGTGCTTGATGACAGGACACTGCCCCAGGTGGTGCTGAGTGGTGCATGTCATGTGCCAGATGCCTGTGTTACTTGCTGAAGTCTGAAAAATTCTGAATTGCAGAAAACGTGTGGCCCAAAGGGTTTCCAAAAAGGAATTTGAATGCCTATTTTTCCTTTCTTTGACCCTGTAATACAGTCCATGCATAATTCATTGTGAGTTTACCTTCAAGATACTCAGTTCCTTCCAACCCCACCCCCCGCTCCACCAAGCTAGTGTGGTGTCCTCCTGTTCCTCCACCTGTTCACACAGCAGCCAGAGGGAGTTTTTACAATGCAGATGGTGTCATGGTGTGCCCCTGAGCAGTGGCTCCCAGAGCCGAGGCCTGAGCCTGCTGCCGTCCTCTCACCTCTGGCTCTTCCCAGCCTCCTCTGCAGTGGCCATCCAGTCTCCTTGCCATTCCAACTCCCGAGATATTTCCCTGTCCTAAGGCCTTTGCAGGTGTCTTTCCCTCTGTTAGAGGCTGGCGCCTGGCTCTCCGTGTGGCTGGTGCCTTCCTACCCTTCTGGTTTCTACTTTAAATGTCAGCCCATGGAGGTGGTGTCTCCCTCACGCTCCAGTATTGCCCCCTCATTATCCCTTTTCTGTCCCTTCCTGTGTTTGTAACTAGAAGGTAGTTTGTCGGCCGGGCGTGGTGGCTCACGCCTGTAATCCCAGCACTTTGGGAGGCCGAGACGGGTGGATCACGAGGTCAGGAGATCGAGACTATCCTGGCTAACACGGTGAAACCCCGTCTCTACTAAAAAAATACAAAAAACTAGCTGGGCGAGGTGGCAGGCGCCTGTAGTCCCAGCTACTCGGGAGGCTGAGGCAGGAGAATGGCGTGAACCCGGGAGGCGGAGGTTGCAGTGAGCTGAGATCCGGCCACTGCACTCCAGCCTGGGCGACAGAGCGAGACTCCGTCTCAAAAAAAAAAAAAAAGAAGGTGGTTTGTCACTGTGCCTTCCATCTGCCTCCCTTACTGCACTGAAGGCCCACAAGGCAGGGCCGCCACAGCCTTTCTCACTGCAAGATTGGCTAACACACAGCATGACACCTAGAACCTAGCAGGGCTCAAGGTCTTTCAAATCTGTCAAAATAAATGAAGTAAACAAATGAGGGAGTGCAGAGTTAGAGTTGTAACAACTGCGGTGAAGGCAACTGCTGGCGTCAGTGATGAAAACCCCCTGGAGAGGAATTAGAAGCTCAGTCAGGGTGACCCATGAGTACGTCTGAGGAGGTGACTTGTGGCTGAGACCTGGGAGGCATGAAGGGACCACCACGTCAAGAACGGGCAGCAACCCCAGCCTGTGCAGGGTGTTCCTGCCCAGTCCTGCCCCCAAGTCAGGGCAGGGGGAGGTTCCCATGCAGGTTCCCTGAAGGCTGCGTGCCGAGAGGAGACGGGGGCACAGAGCCATCGGCTCTGAGGGGTCACTGCCGAGCAAGACTGGGCCTCTCTAATGCCTCAGAGAGAAAGCTGAATGATTCTCAGCACCTCCCTTGCCAGGATGGTCCAGGCAACACTGTAGTTAAAGGCCAGTGTGGGGCCACAGGGATCACTCCTGTGGCAGATGATTGGAATTGAGGAAATTATGGGAGCCACACAGGAATCACGGGAGACCAGCACCAGGCATCCTCCATCATCAGCAAAGTCTGGTTAAGTGGACGGGACCCCTTCATCCCCCTCACCTTAGAATGTGCCAAGTACCCGAGGGGCCAGTACTACTGCTGGGAGACAGAGGTCTTTCACATAAGACTTGAATCACACATCAGGCCCTCAAATCACACCATGTGGTTATAACCACTGCTCCACCTCTCCTTTGCTGTTGGCCAAAAGAGAATTATTGCACTTTCCCCTTGCCATATGTGCCTTACCTTTGAGGTACAGCTGGGAGCTGTGCTCATCTTGTGTTTTGGGGAGGGTTGAAGCTTTAAAGGCAGACTGATGTGAGTGCATCTGCCCAAAGTCTGTGAGGTGACCTGGCAGGCCTAGGGTCATACCGCTGAGCCTGCTGAGAATGGAGCAGGGGCCGTCTGACTCACGCCTGCATTGCGTGGCCACACTGGCACTTTGCAAAATCAGTGGATTTGAACCCAGAACCCTGCTCTTCCCATCACTGCCTTCCCCAAGGCTGAGTCGGTTTGGGATGGCAGACGCAGGTCCCAACAGTGTTCCAGGATGGGCAGGTGGCCAGGGCTCAGTACACTCTTCTTGGCAGGGGTGCCAGGTGCCAGGAGGCAGCCAGGAGCTGGTGCAGCTCTGGAACGACATCCACTACCATCTGGTCATGAGGAGGCTGGGCGTGGCTGCGCTCACCCCGGTGCAGAAGTTCCGCTGCAGGAAGAGGTAACCCAGAAGCCTTTACTTGTGCATATTTCGTGGGGATCCCGAGGGATTAGATGGACCGTGCAAACCCCAGAGGGGCTGAAGCAAAGTAGAGGTGAGGAGATGCGGACGGGAAGTGTCCGCCAGAGCAGTAAGAGTCACAGTGTAGTCAGCATAACATGGCTTCAGTGTGGGTCACACCTGTGCTGGACGCTGGTCACCGAGCTGCTCTCTCCACCAGCCGCTTCAGTCCGCTGCTGGCTGGAAATGGATGGCTGACCACAGGGCGACTGAGGCTAAGGCCAGGAGGTGGGCTGGAAATGGATGGCTGACCGCAGGGCAACTGAGGCTAAGGCCAGGAGGTGGGCATCCTGATCATCTCCGCCCAGCATCCACCCAGGGACTGGCCAGAAAGGGGGCCCTCGGGCCAGGAACAGTGGAGGTGGAAGGCAAGTGGGAGCAGCACAGCGTGTGTCCCCAGGTCATCTAATCCCCACATCTGGGCTCTGGGTGGCCACTGAGGGGCTGGAAGGCCTTTCAAGGAAGTGAGAGCGAGAATGTTGCCAGTGTTAGCACGAGTTACACGCCAGGTGCTCAGAACAGTACCAGGCACATGATAGGCACTAAATAAGTGGTAGTCCTTGTCATCGCCACCATTATCAGCACTAAATCTATGTTACTACTAGTAATTATTATCATCACCATCATCACCACTTATGGATGAGGAAACGGAGGCACAGAAAGGGTAACCTGAGGTTCCACACAAGAGAGAGGTGCAAAGCCAGGACTGTAGCCCAGACACTGAGAAACTGGAGCCTTTAAAAAAAATTCAGACAGGGTCTTGCTCCATTGCCCAGACGAGCATGCAGTGGCACCGTCACGACTCACTGCAGCCTCAACTTCCCGGGCTCAAGCGATCCTCCCACCTCAGCCCCCCAAGTAGCTGTGACCACCATGACCGGCTAAGTTTTAATTTTTTGTGGAGACAGGGTCTTGCTGTATTTCCCAGGCTGGTCTCAAACTCCTGGTAGCCTTTACTCTTCATCTCAGGTGCTCTCCACTGGTCAGGAAAGGGCTGTAGATCTTGCTGTGAACTCCTGACAGCCCAAGTCATGAAAGATTCCTGAGCCACGGGGCTTGGTCGGTAAGAATACCGGTCGCTGGAGGAAAAAGACGTGGGTACCTTTTTGGCCCAGAGAATGTTCTTGTGTGGTACCCATCAAACAGAGTGACGGAGTAAGACAAGTCGTCAGAAGCCCTGCAGTAAATCAGCTGTGGGGTCTTCAGGGGATGTGACTGTAGCCCTCCATGGGCATGCTGGCAGCCCGCCAGAGTGCAGTGGTGTCATTTTGTCATCTTGTCGACATGTTTGTTAAGTGTCCCCTGCCTGCTGGGTTCGGGAGGTGCTGGGGATGAAGGCCAGGCTCTGCCCCCATGGAACTGACATTGGGATGTGGACAATGGCCGACAGACGAGGAAATAGAGTAGATCACATAATTCAGAGGGTGAGAAGTGCTATGCAGAGAATAGTTCAGAAGAGGGCTGTGCGAGGTTGGCTGCTTTAGATGGGGTGGTCAGTGCAGGCTGGTCCTAGTCTTGGAGGAGAGTCTTGAGTGTGGTGACGTGCCAGCCATGTGAGCAGAAGTTTCCAGGAAGGGGCAGCACATTCAAAGACTTGGGGTCAGAGAAGCTTGGTGTTCAGGGGCAGATGGGAAATATTTCGGGGTGTCTGTGTTCACAGCCCTTGAAAAATGTGAAAGCAATTCTTAGCCTGTGACTGTAGAAGCAGGTGGTGGATTGATTCACCCACCCGCCTTACAGGCTGATGAGCAGCAGGACATTGGGCCTGCAGCCATGGCAGCTGCTGGTTTGGGTTATGACCATGCTGATGGTCCCCGGGGGGTGTCAGGAAGGGATGGCATCTGAGTCACACCAGGTGCAGATACAGGGATCAGGAGCAGATGCTGGAGCTTCTAAGAGGTTCCAGGCATGGCCCAGGGCTGGGAAAGCGGCTGGGAAAGTGGACAGGGTTGGGTTAGGGTTAGATTTTGGAGGTGAAGCTGGGGGTGGCTGGTGGGCTGAACACATTGAAGGAGGTAAAGAGAGGACTGAAGTAGACTCCAGGGCTCTTGGCCTGTGTGGGAACCACCAGGAGCATGAGGGTTCCTTCACTGAGGTGCACACGGTCTGGGGAAAAGTTTGGAGAAGGGGGATGGAGTTCTTTTGGGATTCGTGATGTGTGAGACGCATTTTAGATGTCCAAGTAGGCACTGGGATGACACGTCTTCTATAGACAAGTAATATTGGTGCATATGTCATCTTTTTCTTACGAAATATGCAAATCAGCTCAGCACTAGAGAGGAGCATAACCAGCTGGAACACCCCCGGTGTCCAGCTCCAGCACCTCTCAGACGTGTCCCTTTGTCATCTCTGAGTGACACTGAAACCCTGGTAGGGCACAGAGAAAGGAGGGGTCCTCTATGCTCAAGGGACAGATCTCTGGGACTTTGCAGCCCAGAGGAGGATGAGGAAGATTTAGCTGAGACATGGCCAGTGAGAGGAAGAGGAAATCCAGAAGTACACAGAGTTCAGAAACCAGTGAAGGTGAGGAGGTTAAACCTGAGGAGGTGCCAGTTAAGAGGAGAGCTGAGAAATGAACTTTGGATTTTGTGCTTTTAGTGGTAAGGTGCAGGGATCCAGGTGTGTCACAGAGACAGGGAGACAGTGGCAGTGATCCAAGATCATTGTTTGAGAAGTTCAGCTGGGACGGGAGCAGAGTCATGGGGTAACCACTGGAGGTGAGAAATTTACAGAGCTTAGCAGCTCATGAGAATGACTTACTAGAAGAAATTCTGATGGTGGGAAGCAGGGAGTTAGTTCAGGGGAGCGTTCTTAGTGATGTGGGGGATGAGCAGGTGCCACGGCTGGAGCCTCCCCTCACCAGGGGCCCCACAGGCATTTGGGGAGTGCAGAAGGGCTGGCAGGTTTGGTGGGGGCACAGGTGATGCTTCTGAGAACATGGTGAAATGACAGCCAGATCACCCAAGGACAATGAGTCTTGGCAGGAGGTGTTAGGGGTGAGAGAAGAAGGGAGAAAGCTGACGTGGCCATGCAGGGTGGCAGGGGTGTGAGTGCTGCAAGCCTCAGAGGACTCATGCAAGAATGGGGCTGACACCTGGAAACCAGCGATGAACAGAAAGCACTGCATGGAAAAGCACACACAGGGTGGCAGCCGAGTCCTGAGGACAACAGTGTGTGTGTGTGTGTGTCCAGGAGGGCCATCCACGGGAGCTCCGTGGGCTGAGGACACCTGTGTGTGAGTACATCCAGGAAGGCCGTGCACAGGGCCTCCATGGGTGAGGATGCCTGTGTGTGAGTATGTCCAGGAGGGCCATCCACGGGAGCTCCATGGGCTGAGATGCACCCAGGAGCACTGCAAGGGCCCACAGAGGGTGCTCCTCACAGCTGCCTGTAGATGTTCTGGAACAGTATATGTCAGGGTTTGTACATGTCTGTGGGAGAGACTCTAGTTTTCACTAACTGGAGGCAGACAGAGGCATCCCCCAGGAGGAGGCACAGGGAAGGAAGTGTCACCTTCTGCAAAGGGCCAGGCTTGGAGAAGGGAACAGATTTGGAGGGGTCCTGTCTGTTACCACCTCCTCACTGTCCTCACCCAGGAACCCTCCACCCCCTTCCCTCTGCCCGGAGGGGCTGAAGAGCCGGAACTTCCCCAGAGAGGTTCGTGAGAAGCTGCACAATTTCGCTGTGAGGGTGAACACCAACCCCAGCAAGACTGAGAGGGTAAGAATAGAAGACACCAGGACCCAGGAGGTCTCTGCCTGGTGTCTCCCTCTCCCCCAAGGGGATACCCCCACCCCAGGCTCCTCAGTGGCCCCATCCCCCAGGATGCTGTTGGCTTCAGCCGCTCCTCTGGACGAGGACCTTGTTGATAGGCAGCCCCTGCAGACTGTCCTGTCTGCCACATGAAAGGGTTCATTTTCTCACGTGGAGTCATCACATCGTGTCTGTGGCCCCACGGCTGCTCACTCAGCACCCACTGTGTGCCAGGCACCGGGACGATGGGTCGAGGCATCCACCGGCCGACATGCTCTCCACTGCACAGTGGGTTTGTGCCAGGCACAGGCAGTGTGGTTCCCTCCAGTGGCTTGGGGTGGCCCCGGGCATGTTTTCTGGGTGGACCTAGCAAGGGCCCCACTCAGGGGGACGTGCACGTGTGGCTGTGCAGACAGCCTGACCTGGCCTCACTGCTCAGGGCATGGGGATCAGCCCAGGGAGGTGAGGCCTGCATGTTCTGCTCATGCTCGCTGCTCCCTGCTGTCCTTGGAGAGGTTAGGCGGGACTCTTAGCCCCTTCCTTGGTGTAAATGAGCTGTCAGAGCCACTTCTACACACCCCCTGTCCTCAGGGAATGGAAGCAGGGCTAGAAGTGTTGTTGTTTGGGGGCAGGAGAACTTGGCATTGGAGACAAGCTTGACCCCTGAGCAGGTGTACAACTGGTTTGCCAATTACCGGCGCCGCCAAAGAGCCCTTCCCCAGCACGTGGAGCCAGCCCAGCAGGCCACAGCTGAAGACCCTGGTGCAAGGGAGAGGGGTCCTGACCTCCTGCAGCCCTCAGGCAACCCCCATGTTGACTCTGGGTTTGTGGACAGGCCTCAGTGGTCAGGTGAGTGGCCCGAGGGCCCCAGTCTCCTGGTAGTTGGGGAGCTGATTTCTGATGGGCCGGGCCTAGGTAGCCACGCTGGTTATAGGGATAGCCCTCCCCCAATCAGTAGGTTCCAGGTGTCCCACTGTGGGAGCAAGATCACAGGGTCTGAGGGTCTGAGGCTCAAGACTGGCCCAGGCTAGGCTGTGGCTGCCCCTCTGCATTTCGAGGTCACTGTGTGGCCGGGCCAGGAGCTGGGCTGGGGAGGAGGGCATCATGTGGCCAGAGGAGGAGTTGGTGAGTCAGTTTGAGAAGTGAAGCAAGCACCAGGATTTGGGGTGTCCTGGGTTGGCAATTAGGGATCGTTGGTTCACACCAAAGATAGGACAAGAAGCAAAAATATTGGGATGGCCCCATGGCAACAACCTTTTCCATCAGCAGGGCTGCTCATACCTGCTGGGAAGGAGGCTGGGAACCAGAGCCTCACTAAGCCTCCCCTCCCATCTCATTACTTTCAGAGGAACGTGAGGAAAAGGGGCCTCCACAGTCCCCACAGACCACCCAAGGACCATGGGAGTCACTGGCCTTAGCCCCAGCCTTTCCTGCAGATGAGACAGTCCCAAAGCCACTGGATGTCAGGTACTATCATCTCCACAGCCATAGAATCATCTCACTTATTCAGTTCCCTTTCCTCAAGTGGAGACTGGGGCATGGAGTAGGCATAGGGGTGACAGGACCCCCACACTGGGATCAGGTCAGACCCCAGGGAGAGGGAAGCCACCAGCAAGGAGCCCATGTCAGGGACTGGGGTGGGGGACAGCTTCTTCTGACCCCACACGTGCTCCTGCCACGTGACTCATCTCCTGAGTTCATGTCTGTCTTGGAGAATGTGGGGACAGACTTAGAAAGAAACACATGCAGGCCTGCCACCTAAAGACAAACCCAGCTGTCCCTGTGGTTTGTTTCTAGTACTTTGTCTGTTTTGATTTTCATTGAGTTAATACGAGCCAGTATCTCTTGAGTTCCTACTGCACACCAGTGCTGTTTGAGCACCATTATGCACCCTGTGCTCCCTCCTGCCCTGCCCTGAGGGAGGCTCTGCCCACCAAGAGACAGTGTTCTCCATGTCCCCCAGGTCTCTGCCGGGTGGTGAGATGTACCAGGAGGGGCCTGGCCATGATCCTGCCACCCTCCCCGTCTTCTGCCCTGGCCCTGGCCTCTGCCCTCTGGCTGCTGGCAATGACATGCTGGACCCCTCTCTGGCTGCCCCTGAATCTTGGCTGATGTCTCTTGCACTGGCGTCCTCCAAGGAAGTTTCCTTCCAGACTGGGCAGCTGGTCCACAGCCATGGGCTAGACTTCATGATGGGCCCTGCAGACACCGCTGTGGCTGTGTCCATTGCCACCCTTGGAGATCCCAGCCCTACAGGTGGGTCCACTTCAGACAGACCGTGAGTTTCAGCACCAGACACTGTGACTACTCAGGTCCTGTTTGAGGGGATAGAAGTGTGGGTAGGGCCACATGGCTTGAACCCATGGTATTTCATTAGACCTGGAACCAATGTAGCCAGAACAAAGACTCTTCCCACAAACATCCCAGATTATTTCTCATCTACTTTGTGTGTGTGTGTGTGTGTGCGCGCATATCACTAGAGAGGAAGAGTTAAGTTGAAAGGAAGGAGCTGCCATCCTCTGCTCTCCACTGCAGTCCACTTGATTTATCTGTTAACACCGGGTGCAGCAGAGGAGGCTGAGCTCCTTAGACTCCCCACTTGTCCACCCCCCTTACCTGTGGTAGAGATCCCATGATTTTAGTTTCTAAGTTACTGAAGCTGTAAAATCATTTAAAGAATATGTATTTAGATGTATATTTTGTCCAGAATCGTGTGATTTCTCACTTTGTAAGGAGGAAATTGGCACTATGAAATTTCTTTTTTTTTTTCTGAGATGGAGTCTTGGTCTATCGCCCAGGCTAGAGTACAGTGGCACAATCTCGGCTCACTGAAACCTCTGCCTCCAAGGTTAAGCGATTCTCCTGCCTCAGCCTCCCGAGTAGGTGGAACTACAGGCACCTGCCACCACGCCCGGCAAAATTTTTGTATTTTCAGTAGAGACGGGGTTTCACCATGTTAGCCAGACTGGTCTCAAACTCCTGACCTCAAGTGATCCACCCACCTCAGCCTCCCAAAATGCTGGGATTATAGGTGTGAGCCACTGTGCCCAGCCAAATTCACCTATATTTAATATTCTATGGGTATATACATCTTTTCTCTTCACCTTTTTTTTCTTCTTGGAGCTTTTCCATGCCTTTCCTTTTTCGTTTTACATTGTCTGTTTTTATCACCTTTTTAACATCTTCCAGCATTTGAAGCATCCCATCTGAAAACTCACTGTTGGGGGCCCTCCATTTTCCTTTTCCCATCCAAGTGACAGCTCCCTAGCCTGGAGTGAAGCCACTGTCCACAGTGCTCCCATGCTGCTTCCCTGGGTTTACTCCAGGGTGTCCTGAATTTCAGGTCTGGTTCTTTCTTTATTTGACTCCCTTGTTTTGTTTGCCAACGGTTTCCGTTAACTTTGCGAGAAAGAGTGCCTGCAAGATAAATTATCCGAGTCCTCATGTGTTCGAAAAATGTCTTTAGTCTGTTCTCAAGGTTGGTTAACAATTTTGCAAGGATGGAATTCTGAGTTGAAATACTTTTTACCCCTCATAATTTCTTGGAGCTTTTAGATTCTTTTTTTCTTTTCTTTTTTTTTTTTTTTTGGTCTTAAAGTTCTGAAATTTCACACTGAGGGTCCGAGGTGTGGGTCTTTTTACTTCATCTTGCTGTTAAGACTTTAATCTTAAAGAATAAGGTCTCCTGACTGGGCGCAGTGGCTCACGCCTGTAATCCCAGCACTTTGGGAGGCCGAGGCAGGCGGATCATGAGGTCAAGAGATCGAGACCTACCTGGCCAATATGCTGAAACCCCATCTGTACTCAAAAATATAAAAAAATTAGCTGAGCATGGTGGCATGCGCCTGTAGTCCCAGCTACATGGGAGGCTGAGGCAGGATAATCACTTGAACCCGGGAGGTGGAGGTTGCAGTGAGCCGAGATTGGACCGCTGCACTCCAGCCTGGGTGACAGAGTGAGGCTCTGTCTCAAAAAATAATAATAATAAGGCCTCCTGTAAGCTCTGGGCATTTTTTTCTAATATCCTTTGATAGTATCTTTGATAAGTTCCTGCTTCCATGTTTTCAGCTCTCTCTTTAAAGCACAAGTGTTATTTGGATGTTGGAACTCTGGGACCAGTCTCCCAAAGAATTTACCTTTTATCTTGTATTTTTTAATTGCATGTGTGTTTTGGGTATTTCTTAAATTCTGTTATCTGATTTTTTTGTTTTAACAGTTGTATATCTTTTTTTTTTTTTTTTTTTTTTTGAGACGGAGTTTCGATCTTGTTGCCCAGGCTGGAGTGCAATGGCGCGATCTCGGCTCACTGAAACGTCTGCCTCCCAGGTTCAAGCGACTCTTCTGCCTCAGCCTCCCAAGTGCCTGGGATTACAGGCATGTGCCAACACGCTGGCTAATTTGGTATTTTTAGTTGAGATGGGGTTTCACCATGTTGGTCAGGCTGGTCTCGAACTCCTGACCTCCAGTGATCCACCCGTCTCAGCCTCCCAAAGTGTGGGATTACAGGCATGAGCCTCCGTGCCCAGCCAACAGTTGTATATCTTAAGAGAATTTCAGTCCTTCTTTACAGATCTCTGAACTCTTCTTCCTTCATAGATTATGTTACTTTCTATGGATGCAATATCTTATACTTCTCTAAGGTTCCTAATAATAATTTTTTTTAATGTGCTTCATTGACTGAACACAGGACTGTTGGGACTGTGGATTCTGGCCCTTCCTTGATGCAGGGCCAGAAAGAGGAAGGGATCTTAGGGCTTGCTCCTCTGGAGAGGACTTGTCAGTTTGATCATACTGACCTTTCCTTTTTTGCTGTCCTTTTTATTTAACTGTTGGAGACTCACATGTGCCTGTCTATACTTAATGAGGCTGGAGTGGGGACGGTCACTGGATGTCTTCACACTGGGACAAGAGGAGCTGGTTTTCAAACCTGGGGCCTGCACAAGTGAGGGGGGATGTTCTGTGGGAATCAGCGAAGTCCTTTGTTCTGTCTGTTGAAACCCCTGCCTTCAGGTTCCCTGCTGCTGCCTGGGCACCTGGATGTTCTCCCTCTCTTGAGCTCCTTGGGAATCTCAGCCCCTGCCCCACACCCCAGCTCCCTGCCAGACACCCCATCCCCATGGGCTGCACTTGCATCCTGACTGCACAATGTGGACATTGTGCTCATGGCTTTCCCTTTCTCTTGGAAGGAGTATGTGTAATCTATTGCTGTACTATGATGGATGGAACCAGAATGTCCAAACTGGTGCTTGAACATTATTTCTTCTCTCCAGAGTGTCTGTAAGGTCTGCATGAAAGAAGAAATAGCAGAAAGCAGGCACATGGTCAGGAAGGTCCCTTTGACCTAAGAAGGCCCTGGGCAGCTGGGCACCAGGTTAGGTGGTCACTCTGCTGTACAGGAAGGAGGACCACGTGAGCCTCACCCCGAGGCCTGTTGTTCTGTGTCTTTAGATCAGGGCTATCTTTTTTTTTTTTTTTTTTTTTTTTTTTTTGAGATGGAGTCTCGCTCTGTCGCCCAGACTGGAGTGCAGTGGCCAGATCTCAGCTCACTGCAACCTCCGCCTCCCGGGTTTATGCTATTCTCCTGCCTCAGCCTCCTGAGTAGCTGGGACTACAGGCGCCCGCCACCTCGCCCGGCTAGTTTTTTTTTTTGTATTTTTTAGTAGAGACGAGGTTTCACCAGGTTAGCCAGGATGGTCTTGATCTCCTGACCTCGTGATCCGCCCGTCTCGGCCTCCCAAAGTGCTGGGATTACAGGCTTGAGCCACCGCACCCGGCCAGGGCTATCTTAATGCTTGTTTTACAGCCTAATAGACTCAGGGCAGGAAAAAAATCCTGTCTTTTCAGGCCACAGCTCTCCTAAATGTCCACCCAGAATTGACCAAATCCACAGTAGCTTATCTAAGAGCGGGAGATGTTCTGAGATACGCTCTGGAAAGTCACCGGGAGTGGAAACTAGTGATAGCTTATACCTCAGTGGCATCTTGGTAACCTTGGTAGGAGGTAACAGTGGAAACCACCAAGGGCTGGTGGCCAAGCACTCCGTGAACCAGCCACAAAAGGAGACTGAGGGCTCCTAGCACATTCTTCTGCACCAGCAGGGCGGAGCAAGCTGCAGACTCTGACTCTGGCACTGAAGGCACATGAGGTCTGTGATGACAGCAGCATTTAAAGTCAGCAGAATGCAACCGCATCTTGGCCTCTGGAAGCCTGGAAAGGCTGTTGAGATCAATGGTTGCGACAGTTCCTTCCTCAGAGAGGGAGACTGAGGCCCAGGGACCGTGAGTCTGGTTCACGTGGCCCGGGCTGGTGGGGCCGCAGGCTGCATCTGCTTTGAGATCTTGGTTGTGTCACACGTGGGCTGTGCTCCTTTCTCCTGCCAGTGTGCTGTGGAATCTCATTACATGCAGGGTTTGCTGGCCCCCCCAGTGGCTATCCCCAGAGCGTGCAGTTGGAGGAGGGTCTGGGCACAAGCGGTGGACAGACAGAGCTACGGGTGGGCAGCTTCCTGGTGACGCAGCCCCCACTGCAAGCTCCTGAATTCATCCTCACCCAGAGGTAAGCCCTGAAGAGCCACAGGCCTGGACAATACTTACCACGGGCCACAAGGTATGGTAATGCCCAATTAATAGACCCACCATCCCAGACTGTGCAGATAGGGCCCTTTCCTTTGGATTGCTGAAAACTGTAACAGTCCCCTCCAGCCTACATCTGCGAAGAAAAGGGTAGTTTTTCTCTCAAAAGAGCACCCCAAAACATCAGAGCAGATGTGGGCATCCCATTTATTGGTCATGATCAGGGTTCACCCTTCCCCCCAGATCACCCTGGACCCCAGCAGCCTCTTGCTGGAGTTTCCTTTTCCCTGAGCAAACACTGTCAGTTTTTGAGCAGAATCAAGGTCCCGATTTTCTATTCTGAATTGTAGTTTCAAAGGGACTTGGGGGGTCTGGCACAGCCTCCCTGACACTTGCTGTTGATAGTGTTAGCGCTGCAGACTTCAGAAACAGAAGATGAGCAGGGCCTTCGGGGCCAGCACAGCAGGAGGGATCCTGCAGAGACAGGAGGGATGGAGGAGTGTGGCAGGGTGGCCTGGGGTCCTCTGGTGGGGAGGCGATCACCCCCACCACTCCTGTTCTAGCAGACGCCCCATCTTCTCTACAGGAGGGCCACCAGGAGCAGAGCAGGTCCCGAGGGTGTGGGGTCTCCCTCATCAGGGAGCTGAAACCAGGTTGACTCAAGGCTCATGCTAGTGAGGGCAGAATTACAGGGGGACAGAGGAGAAAAGGGGGAACGGCCCCTAAATCACATGGTCTGCTTGCTGAAACAGCCAGATTGTGAGAATGTGCACCACACAGACGGACTCACTTTTCCATTCATGGCTGAGAGCTGACACCAGGCAGAGTCTGCCATGGCCACGGTGTCCCCTATGTCTTGCCTGACCTCTCCACATGGCCATCTCGACCCCTCCTCCTGCTCCCCCAACTCCCATGCCTCCCCACTCCGATCTGAAGGCCATGCTTCAACCTGAGAACGTGAGTTCCTTCGTTCAAAGTGGCTTCATTGCGGTGTGATTGGCTGTACATGTGTAGATGGAGCACCTGAATTTTCTCAGTGTGACTTTCGCATCCACACAAGGCCACCACTGTGATGAAGGTCTTCAGTGTACCCTTCTGCCCTTCGCCTCTCCCTGGCCACCCAGGACCATGGATCTGCTTCTGTCACTAAGGATTAGCTGCATTTTATAGAATTTCACGTAAATATGGTATACTTTTGGGTCTTTGTTTTGGTCTGGTCTGGCTTCCTTCACTCTGCATGACAACTTTGAGAGTCACCGTGCTGTGGATGCATGAACAGTTCATTCCTCTCTGTGGAGCGACGTGCCACGGCATGGATGTGCTATAGCTTCTTCACCCTCATCCTATGGATGGGGATTTGGGGGCATCACAGATAAGGCTGCTGTGAACATCCTGTATGTGTATTGTCTGCACACCTGCCTTCATTTCTCATGGTGCATGCCCAGGAGAGCCGTGGCCATGTCACGTGCTAGGTATGCATTGACCTTGCTGAGGAACCACTGACCCTTGCCCTGAGCTGTGCTGTGCATCCCTGCTCTCCCTCCTGCTCCCTGAAATCTTGTCTCCACAGCCCAGGCCTGTTCCTCCTTTGAGGTCTCTGTTTCCTCCACATTTCTGCTCACTGGCTCTTCCATGAGCCTGCTCTGAGCCCTCTGTGCAGTTGCCCCTATGACCCACCAGGTGACCCTGCTCTCCGTGTAACATTCCCCTCCTAACTCTCTACATACATTACAACCCTGCAGGAAGAGAGTGTTCTGATAAGTCAAGTATTAGAATGGCTCCTGTTGAGGAAGAAAGCACAGCTGAGTGGATTCTGTCACCCAGTGTCCCCTTGAGACAGGGCCTACCCTTACACTGTCTCTTTTCCAGCCCTCTGGAGCTGGCCCCAGCCCCATCTGCCTTCCCCGGCCCTGTGTCTGCCATGGAGCTGAGCCAGGCCCTGCCCTCCAGCCAGGTGAGGCTTCCCTGTGAGCACTAAAGGATTCCCTCTTTACTCCGGGATCTGCAGCTCATGGTGCTGAGGAGGGTTCAGCTCGTGCCACTGGAGGGAATACACCAGGCAAAGATGAACAAGGGACGAGGATGATTTATGGCTAGACATTACTGGACTGGGAGCTGGGGTGAGGGATGCTGTGGGGCAACGTTCCCTCCTGAGCCCAGACTTGGGGGGGGTCTTCCCAAGGTCAGGACGTGCCCAGGTGGGAGGGCCGATCTTGAGCCTGGAAAGGAAGCCTCTGTGTTTAACATTGTGTTTTCTTCCAGGTGCAGTGTTCCAACAGCCAGGCCTCTGGTGATGCCTTCTGGGGGGCCAGGATGCTCCTTGAGTTTTCAGGGAGCAGCCTGGGCTGAAGTAGCCTCGGGAGCCAGGCGGCACCCCAGGAGGAGCAGGTGTGGATGGTCTGGCTGGTCAACACAAGGAGTTGCAGAGCTTTATCCTGAATACAAAATGAAGGTCCCTAGAGTTCCCCTGGGGGCTCTGCTGAAAAGCATTGATTCTTTCCCACTGCCATGTTTGAATAGTTTGGTTGGCAATTCCCTGTAGTTGAGAAATGTTCATGGGATCAGAAGTCACAGGTGTCCCACTCAGGCAGCTCTGGATCAGTCAGGCTCCGGAGCACTTGTGGGCAGAGAAGGCCATTCTAGAGAGGGGAGTGTTCCACTGCTGGCTGCCTTGCCATCTGCCCATGCACAAGGCCAGACTTCTCCACCAAGTTAACTGAGTGAGGTATGAGGAGTGTCCTGAGATTTCTGTGTGTAGGGATTTCGAGTACTGGGAGGCAAACCTGTCTGCGAATGGCCCAGGCAGGGCAGAGTAGGCTGGGTTTTCCCTTCAGGTTGTAATTCACTGTGTCTATGACACAAATGTTGTCAATTAAAGTTTAATGTTTTGAACTGCCTTGTATTCACTTAACCATGTATCCTGGGCATCTGTCCATGCCAAAGTACAGAGATGAACATCAGCCTTTCCACCCGGGGCCCGCGTTTCATGATGTGGGTGTACATTAATCATGCAGCAGTGTCCGACAGATGGACATCTGGATGGTTTCTAGTGTCTGTTTTATATGCAGCATTTGGGTGGGCAACCCTGTCCTCTGCCCTTTGCCCTTCACCTGGTTATTATTAGGATAAATTCCTGGAAGCTGAATTTCTGGGTCGGTTATGGTAGCCCTAGGTGTGGACTGTGGGTTTTGGAGTGTCTGTGACTGACCTTGTGCTCACCTGGCCACGTGCCCATCTCAGGGGAGAGCCACAAGTGGTCTGGGCTGAGGTCAATAGCCCTTAACCCAGAGAATTCAGACTCTGGCCCTGCTCTCAGGAGCTCCCAGGCTGCTCTGTGAGAGACAGGAGCACAAATACCAACCTTCCTGTGGGGTCATGGGTGGAACAGGAGGAGGAGCCATGGCTGGGAGATCTGACGGTGGGGGTCGGGGGAACAGGAGAATCTTGACGGAGGTTGGAGAAGGGTATTGTGATAGGAAGGGAATGGGGTAGTGTGGCAAAGAAGACAGGAGCTTTGGTATCTGGCGACCATTGCATTGCTCACCTGTGGCCCCATGCATCCCTGGCAATCCCCAGGCCTGGAGAAGCAGGAGGGCACTGGGACCAGCTTCCCAGCCATCCTGAGTTTGAAGAATGTGCTGCCAGCAGGGTGGTGTGGAGTGGAGGGCACAGCTGCTTCCCTACCTGTCGCAGGAGAACCGGCCCCCATGTTCCCTACAGGCCGACTCCCCCAGACTCAGAGGGCAGAAGCAGCGGCAGTGACTACTGTGCCTTGGGCTGCTATGGGAGGCACCACCCTTTGGCCCTCCCAGGAAACACACAGAGCCTGGGCCTAACCCAGCCCTGGGCTGGGGCCTTTCCTGCAACCAGCAGGGCCTAGAGACCCAGCAAAGAGGCACTGGGTGCTTGCTGGTCACAGCCAGAGGCCCAGGCTGCACAAGGATCTCCAGGGCATGTTGTTCCCTCCCGTCCTCAGCAGGTCTGTCCTGAACGTTCTAGAGTCCTGACTCAGCTGTATCATGTCCGTTCTAGAGAAAATGGACTAAAGTCTCTGGAGCCAGCCCTTGGCTAGGACTGGACCTCCTGAAAGGGGATCCCCAGCAGTGGCTGCAGGTCCTGACAGGATGGAAGCTGGAGGCTCCTCACTGTCTCTGTTCACCTGTGAGGAGGAGCTGCTACCCACAGGCCCTTCCTTGCCGTCTCCTTTCTGGCTCTATCCCTGGCCTCTGTGACAATGGGATGTGGCCCCACAGCCTGTTCTGCCCTCACCCCATTAAAGGACCAGCCTGAGTCCAGTGGACACAGGTGAGGCACCATGACCAAGTGGTGTGACCCCTTTCTGTGCCTTCCTGAGGCACCTGTCTAGAGAATGAAGGGACATAATGGCTGTTCCAGTAGATTGACGGCTGGGAGGAGGGGCCAAGAGAGGTATGAGGGGTGGGGTTTGACCAGCCCTGGGCTTTCTGGACTCCAGGGACAGCAAGGTGGGGGCTCAGGGCAGCTCCAGTGACAGCAAGGTAGAGGCTCAGGTGCAGCCCCAGGGACAGCGGGGTAGAGGCTCAGGTGCAGCCCGAAATGGAGTGCAGCCCCAGGGACAGCGGGAGTAGAGGCTCAGGTGCAGCCCAGGGACAGCCCAGGGGGTAGGCTCAGGTGCAGCCCTAGGACAGCAAAGAGTATCAGGTGCAGCCCCAGGGACAGCGGGGTAGAGGCTCAGGTGCAGCCCTAGGGACAGCAAGGTAGAGGCTCAGGACAGTCCCAGTGACAGCGGGGTGGAGGCTCAGGACAGCCCCAGGGACAGAGGGGTGGAAGCTAAAACAGGAGACTGAGAACTGATACCAGGACTTCCAGACAGAGTGGAAATGACCACCCAATAGCAGTGGTGGCCCATGAAGAGCCCAGCTTCCCTGACTCGCCCTCTCGGGTGGGCTTGGGAGGCAGCTGTGGTCTGGAGAGAGTGGTGGATGGAGCATGCCTGTGTTCCTTTCCTAGGGCTGCTGTAACAAAGCACCACAAACTGAGAGGCTTAGAGCAACGGCGATTTGTCGTCTCCGAGTTGGGAAATCTAGGAGACCGAGTCATGCTCTCTCTGAAGAGTGGGAAGGATCGCCCCCAGGCCTCTCCCCAGTTCTGCTTGCTTCTTGGCTTGTGACATCGAAGCTTCAGTCTTTTTTCTTTTTTTTTTTTTGAGACGGAGTCTCGCTCTGTGCCCCAGGCTGGAGTGCAGTGGCGCGATCTCGGCTCACTGCAAGCTCCGCCTCCCGGGTTCCCGCCATTCTCCTGCCTCAGCCTCCCGGGTAGCTGGGACTACAGGCACCCGCCACCACGCCCGGCTAATTTTCTTGTATTTTTAGTAGAGACGGGGTTTCACTGTGTTAGCCAGGATGGTCTCGATCTCCTGACCTCGTGATCCGCCCGCCTCGGCCTCCCAAAGTGCTGGGATTACAGGCTTGAGCCACCGCGCCCGGCCCGAAGCTTCAGTCTTACAAGCCTTCCTCCTTGTATGCATGTCTGTGTCCAAATTCCCCCTTTTTTATAAGGACATATCATAGTGGATTAAGGCTGGCTCTAATTACTTCATCTCACATTTATCATCTGCAAAGACCGTATTTCCATATAAGGCCACATTCACAGCTACTGGGGGTCAGTACTTGAACATATGAATTTGGGGGATATAATTCAATCCCAGCAGTGTCTCTGTCTCTGCCGGTGATCTCCACATCCCTGCTGGTGCCAGGTAACCACGGCCCCGCCCAGGGTGCCCCATCCTTGTACCTGATGCTCCAGGCAGTTCACCGAGGGCCTCACTGCTGGGTTTGGGGCTGGCATTGGGATCCCTTGCCCAGTAAAGGCTGGATTCAGACTGTTCTGGGGTTGAGGTGCTGGTGTTTTGAAGGCAAGAAAAACCAGAGGCTGGTCCTTCTCTGGATGCTGAGCCACAGCAGGGGACCTCTCCTGGGGGCTCCCATGCCTCCTATGGCGTAGGCAGAAAGTACTTACAGTCCCAGGCCCCCAAAGGCAAAAGCCCCTTCTGACTCAGATAGCATCCCTCCCACTCTGCTTGCCTGCAAAGCCCCTGAGGTTTTCTGGGGGACCTCAGTGGAGCTGAATCATCAGGGCTGAGGCATGCCCTAGAGTTGATCTTTAGCATACAGAGAGTGGAAGGGGTGTGGATGGCAGCGAGGTGCAGGTGGCCTCAGTTCTAACTACATATTACAATATTAGCATGATTCCACTTCCTGGAGCTGACCTCTGGGGAGCTCCAGGCTGGTGTATTTTTGATAGGGTCTGTGTGGCTCATGAGGCTTCACGCGGAACCTGAGCCATCTCATGACCAGACAAGCGCCCCCACAGCTGGGTTACCTCTCCTGTGTGGCCTGGACACAGGTTCTTATGACTCACAAGTTTGAGTGGCACCTGGAGACTGGGTTCTGGGCTGGAACCTGAATGTGAAGCCACTTGGAGGCTGTGTGATTGCAGGTGAATCATTCAGTCACCTGAGCCTGGCCCCCCCCTCTGCAAAAGGAACTAGCCGTACCGAGCAGATTGCCGTGAGTCACCTGAGCAAGACACCTGCATGGTGGTGGTCAGAAAACACTGATTTCTCCTTGTTGAAACGGGACAACCCTGGGAGCTCATGTGCTGAGGTATGAATTACAGCAAAGCAAGTTTCAGAAGACCCTGTGTGCCCTAAGGAGGCATTGCTGATCACTCGGTGTCTGTGACAGCATCAGAGAGAAGGTGACCTGGACCTGGAATGACGAAACGGCCACAGGTTTAGGAGCTGGCAGATGGTGTGGCTGGAGCACATGTCTGAAATGTGGTTGGCCAGGCCCAGGCAGCACTGGGCTGTGGAGGGGCTTAAACGCGAGGCTGAGGGCTCACCCTGGTGAGGGAATGCTAAGGACTAGATTTTTTTATTGAGGTAAAATTTACACATAAATTAACTTTTAAAAATGTACACTTCTGTGACATTTAGTTCATGTACAACATTGTGCAGCCACCACCTCTTCGTTCCAAGATAGCTTCATCACTCCAAAGGAAATCCTCTCTCCATGAAGCAGCTGTCACATTCCATCCTCCCTCCCACCCCTGACAGCTGCTGTCTCTTTGGATTTACCCATTATGGGTATTTCATGTAAGTGGTATCATACCTTATGTGACCTTTTTGTGTCCAGCTTCTTTCTACACATTGTTTTTATCTTTGTAGAGATGGAGTCTTGCTCTGCTGCCCAGACTGGACTTGAACTCTCAGACTCAAGCGACCTCCCACCTCAACCTCCCAAGTAGCTGGGATTAAGGTGTGTGGCCCTGTGCTGGGTTCTCAGCACAATGTTTTTCCTCCATATTGTAGCAAGGGTCAGCCACAGCAGCTTTGCCATTTTACAGCAGTGTTCACGTTTCTCCACTTCTTTGTCAGCACTTGTTTCTGGTTTGCTTTTAAAATAATAGCCATTCTGATGGGTGTGGAATGTTATCTCATTATATTTTTGATTTATATTTCCATGATGGCTAGTGATGTTGAGCATTGTTTCATATGCTATTTGCGTATCTTATTTACAGAAAAGTCTCTTCATTTTGATCTTGGGCTTTTTGTTGTTGGGTTGTAAGAGTTCTTTATATATTCTGGATACTAGACCCTCATCAGGTATATTATTTTACAGTGTCTTTTCTCCCATATTCACTTTTTTTTTTTTTTTTTTGAGACAGAGTCTTGCTCTGTCGCCCAGGCTGGAGTGCAGTGGTGAGATCTGGGGCTCCACTGCAAGCTCCGCCTCCCAGGTTCACACCATTCTCCTACCTCAGCCTCACGAGTAGCTGGGACTACAGGTGCCCGCCACCATGCCTGGTTAATTTTTTGTATTTTTTAGTAGAGACGGGGTTTCACCATGTTAGCCAG